CCACGTTAGAAGAAGTTACGTTTATCCCTTGCGTTATATTATATTCGCAGTTCTCTGTTAAATTGTTGTTCATTTTTTTTTTTTTCTTTTTTTTTTCCTTTTTCACGTGTCACGATGTTCAAGCGCGGTTCAAAGTTTAAGCCGAATTAACCGAATGCCGAAACTTTTTGATGGAGACTGTGCTGGAGACTCGTCTGGTAATTGGACACCGGCAACTACGTTGGAAACTAGAAAAACCGCAGGAGTATGGTGGTCGACGGTGATTACAGGGCGCTTGACGGACGATCATCAGAGTTTCGGAGGACTGAATGAACGTCGACCGGCCGGAAACGGGTTCACTTTCAATTTCCTCTGTCAGGACGGAGTAAATAAGACGACTGGCGCGCGATATCGTGATTTCTTTGAAACGAAGAAATAATGATTAATCGATTCTTATAAAGTAAAAAGTATCTAATACTCACGTGATTTTTTTTTAAAATAAACAAATATAATTAATCAATCGATTGAAAATAGAAACTCTTCTTATAAAATAAAAAGTATCGTTTCTAATACTTACTGATTTATTTAAAATAAAAAAATAGAAAATAGAAATGTTTCTTATAAAATAAAAAGTATCGTTTCTAATACTTACGTGATTTTTTAAAATAAACAAATATAATTAATCAATCGATTGAAAATAGAAACTTTTCTTATAAAATAAAAAGTATCGTTTCTAATACTTATTAATTAATTTAAAATAAAAAAATAGAAAATAAAAATGTTTCTTATAAAATAAAAAGTATCTAATACTCACGTGATTTTTTTAAAATAAACAAATATAATTAATCAATCGATTGAAAATAGAAACTCTTCTTATAAAATAAAAAGTATCGTTTCTAATACTTATTGATTTATTTAAAATAAAAAAATAGAAAATAGAAATGTTTCTTATAAAATAAAAAGTATCTAATACTCACGTGATTTTTTTTAAAATAAACAAATATAATTAATCAATCGATTGAAAATAGAAACGCTTCTTATAAAATAAAAAATATCGTTTCTGATACTTATTGATTTATTTAAAATAAAAAAATAGAAAATAGAAATGTTTCTTATAAAATAAAAAGTATCTAATACTCACGTGATTTTTTTAAAAATAAATAAATATAATTAATCAATCGATTGAAAATAGAAACGCTTCTTATAAAATAAAAAGTATCGTTTCTAATACTTATTGATTTATTTAAAATAAAAAAATAGAAAATAGAAATGTTTCTTATAAAATAAAAAGTATCGTTTCTAATACATTACAGACACGTATTCAGAGTCTGACGGAGCAAAGAAGAGAACCGGAATGAAAGAAGAAGAGAAAAAGTGCTTACCTTTCGCTGCTTACAAATAATTTTGACGATCCAGGGGCAGGGAGGGGGAGGGGGTGTCCCTAGGAAGGCTTCCTTTTTGGCGGGCATTTGTCCCCAAATAATTGGGCGGAACGGAGCGCCGCGTCTTCTCTGCAATTATAGGCAGTAAACGTGGCCACATCCGGCACAAGCAGCTCTCCTAGCTGAAGTGGGATAATTCGCTGCGGAAAGACAACGATTAGGGCGATCGAAGGGGGAGAGAACACGACTCTCCCCGTTCTCTTTCTCCCCGCGTATTTAGTTAACGAAATAACGAAAGAGAGGAAAGAAGAAGGATCGAGATTTTAAGAGAGACACTACTCTACTTGGATATCGCAAGCATCTTTTCCCCTTATATTTCTTTTCTTTTTTTTTTTTCTTTTTTTCGTTTGTTCTTCCATACGCTTCCTGATTAAGGAATCAACCGAGGACGATTGGATGCAAGAAGAGGCTCAATGATAATCAGTTTCTGTATCTTTAGAAAAATGTGCTCATCAGAAAATTATGTAGTTGTAACTTGGTCAATTTTCAAGATAAAAGAATGAAATTTAATAGAAAAAAAGGGGAGAGAGTAGAATTAAGTATTTTACTTGAACTAAAAGGATCTAAAAAGTTTCTAAATCTTTCTCGCATCCGGTACAATTGCGATAGTTCGATTTTTCTGGGAAATGAATTTCATGGAATTCGACTTTGTCATTTTCTATTCTCCGTCTCTTTTCTTTTCAAAGCCGATCTTCAAATTGTCGAAGGGAGAGAGAGAGAGATGTTACGATATAAGAGCTGCGAAACTCTCGATCGAGAAATTCAACACCGTCTTTTAATACGTATGATGATGAAGAATACTAGAGAACTATTTTTTTTTTGTTCATGTTGGGCCATATATAAATTTATTCTGTGCGATACAATTGAAAAAATATATACAGTGTGCCTTATAAAATGTATCAGGATCGAAAAAATTTGTTCAACTGAGAAAAGATATTCTTGCGAAAAGAGAAATGGATTTATTCCAGGTTGTTGTCGTTCGAAGATCGTTTCGCCAATTGTTATTTTCTTCCCCCCCCCCTCTCTTATTTTACATCGAAAGGACTGTTAACTGGATATAATATACCGATATCAACGTTTGAAACAAATAGAATGAAAACATTACACGATAATATTATCATCGACAAACGTGATAAAAATCATTCGTTCAACGAATAAATAGTAATAAGCCAAAGATTTTCGTGATATCCTATCGTGTGTTCGTCTATAATGAGTTCGTGAAGTTTCGTACAATCAACGTATACAAGTACCGGTTAAATCATTTTTATGTATATATATATATATATGCATTATTTCTTTTCCATCTGTCAATTATATACAACGTTACACGTACTTACATAACATCACATCGTTCTTTCTAGGATCGATAACTCTACGGTTGCTCTTAAATTAAATAAATGCGTAAATCGAGACAGACTTACACGCTCTTTATTTCGATGATGACGACCACGAATCTTAACGATACTTAGCTATACCAATATTTATAACTTATCAATATCTTTTTTTTTCTCGCGTTAACATACCCTTAATTACTCTTTATGATCCTTTGTCACGCCTAAGAGAATAATATGTACAAAATGGTGTATGCGTGTGTCGTTGTACGCAGGTGTAACGTTCGCGCCAAGATCGCGAGAGAATTTAAAGATTAGTTAAAGAGTAAAAATTCGAGCGGGATTAAAATGATCATCGAATTTTCAATGACGTTCGACGTTCGTAAAAATAATAAATCCTCTCTCTTTCTCTCTCTCTCTCTCTCTCTCTCTCTCTCTCTCTCGCGATCTTCGTAAGATCGTTCTCACCCGATTCGTGTGTCAAGTGTGTGTGTATGTGCGCGCGTTTACGCGCGAAATGTTCGAAACGAAAACACCGTTTCGCCCGCCGCCAAGTCGATCGCAGGATAAACGGATCAACGTCGTACACACATCGTAATATCTTTTAATTACAAACTATCGCGCTAATATATACACAGATATGTCGTATCGATCTTTCGAATTGAGTCGCACCATTCGAGGAGGATGTTTCGAATTTGGAGAAATAGTATCTGCAATAGTATTTGAATTATTGCTGTAATCGACGTTGGGACGAAATTCTTCGGTTATGTAACCACGTTTCAAACTTTTTTTTTTTTTTTTTTTCAAACGACGAGCCTCTTTTCATTTTTCTCCTTCTCTGTTTTATATATATATTAATGTAAAAAATATATATATATATATATAAATCTGTTTCTCTCTCTTTCGAGAAAAGGAAAGGAAAGGAAAGGAAAGGAAAGGAGAGAAAAGCGTTAACATTAATTATTTGGTTTCGTAGTTTTTGGCGCTTGTCTTTTCTCAAATATTCGTTAATCATTTCTCGATCGCGTTGGTGAATAACGTTGGGTATAATAAATTTGCGAAGTCAATTTGGATGGAGAAAGGGGAGAGCGCGAAGATTTGTTCGGTCACCCGTCGTCGAAAGGGTCAATTTGAGATCGTAAATCGAAGAATTTCGCAAACTTGGAAAACCTGTCCGGATTTCGCTCTTCTGTCTTCGCCTTTCCTTCCATCCCCCCTCCGTGTCTCCATTTTCTTCCCTGCGTATCGCGTCTGCCGCTTTGACGAGGGTAAATTCCTCCTCCTCGAGCGTTCGAGTTTTTCAGGGGGGATGGTGGAGGAACGAGAGCGATCCGTAATTATTTAACTTTTCTTTTTTAGCTTTCCACCGGTCCCCCCCTCGGTTCGTTAAATTAAACATGTCGATAAAATTGGCCGTCATCCCGGTAAGACGTTGATATTATCTAGAAATAGAGCAATTAAGACGAATCCGTCTCTCGTCTCCGTCCCTCCTCGCTTTCCTTCCCCATCTCGTCCCTTATTTTTTCGCTGTCAATAGCGTCACGTCAAATTACGGTTCGGCAATTAGCTGCCGTCCCGGCGGCAAATTTTTCTAAACAACTTCTTTTTGCCTTCGCGTTGCGACGTTACGTGCACCACAATGTAGATTTATAACAATAAAGGGAGAAATTACGACGCGTTAGACTCGAGAATTGAATTACTGGAAATTATTGGTGATAATATTTAATATCGGTGGTTTGGTATAAAACGAGATTCTATTTGAGAAACTTTTCCCTCTGAAATTGCTTTTGCTTCAATTTTCGCGTCTCTTTCTTTTTTTTACCGATTGTATCGATAAAAGTTATTTAACCGGTTTAAATTAAAAGAAGAAAAAAAGAAACTTGAGAAGCAGAGATGCGAGAACGAGAAAAGGCAAGCAATAATCCAACCAATATAACGCGTAAAATCAAACGATTCCTCCTCCTCCTCCTCCTCCTTCGAAATTAAATAAATCAACACTCGATCGATATTCTTCTGATCTCGCTACAAGAGATTTCCAAAAAAAAAAAAAAATAAAAAAAGAAAACAGAAATTTCCAATTCGATTTCAAATCAATTAGATATCACTTCGATTCTCTTTCGACGTTATTAAGCGCAAAATAACTGCTGCTCCTGCGCCGAGAACAAACGATTCCATCTTTTGGAAACGCAATTAATACAGGTTTCACTCAGGCAATTCAGAGTCTCGTTGTTTAATCTTTGCGAATCGTTCAACAAATCGGTTCGGCGAGAGGTTGCGGCGGGCCGTACGGTGAGGCCCATTGACCCACAGGATGGGCGAGGGCGGTGGGTGGTTGCTGCCTGTCTAGACTGGGAACCGTGGTTCCCGCTGGATGGCTGGCCACTGTCGTCGGGTACGCCACTTTGCCGAGGGCCTCGGCTTGAAGAGACAGCATCAACCGATTCGCCGCCTGCCTCTCAGCCTCTCTCTCCTCCGCCGTTTGCCTCCTGGAAACAGATGGAAAGAGGATCGAAGATCAACCACCGTGCTCTCTTTATTCGAGACGGAAGGGAGAACGATTAATCCGCTTCGAGTAATTTGTAAATATTGCAACCAATTACGAGGGAAAGAAGGATTGTAAAATCAAAGTTATTGGTTTTTTTTTTTTCAGGTAGTAAAAAGTAAAAGTCACGAGATCGCAAGGTCCATTCGATTGAATGGCACGGGAGAGAGGTGTGGCGGAGAGCGCACGAGGGAGAAACTGTGGGGTGGAAAGAGACCGGTGGTTGTTGGGGCGGAAAACAGAAGACAAACGTAATAAAGTTAATTCGATTCGTCCGTGGCGCGGCGCTAGCTCGGCGAGGGGAGGCTCGTGGCTGCCTGTTTTCTAGCGCTAAGTCTATTAGAGAACCACAAAATGGCCGACCCGTTGCCAACGTCGATAGATCCGCTTTTGTCGCATCCAAGCTTTTTCTACCCTCCTACGCACGAATACTTTACGATTCTCCCTTTTTTTTCCTTTTTTTTTTTTTTTTCAGGATTACGAAAGAACGATTTCATTCACCGAAAGCGATCCTTTACTAGTAACATTCCATCTTCGACGAATTTAAAACACAATGACCGATATATCGAGGATCGGTGTTAAAGAGACTTTTGAAATTCGCTTCTGTCGAATGGAAGCAACTTTTTTTCTTACAATTCTCCCTTTTTTTTTCAGAATTATCCAAGCTTTTCTCACCGAGAAAGAATGGTAACATCTTCGACGCCTCTCACGAATTTAAAACACAACGACCTATATCGAGGATCAATTGGATCTATGTTAAAGAGAATTTTTTGAAATTCGCTTCTTTCGAATGGAAGCAACTATTTTTCTTACAATTCTCTCTTTTTTTTTCAGAATTATCCAAGCTTTTCTCACCGAGAAAGAATGGTAACATCTTCGACGCCTCTCACGAATTTAAAACACAACGACCTATATCAAGGATCAATTGGATCGGCGTTAAAGAGACTTCTGAAATCTTAGAGGCCTCGTCCTGTAAGGAGAGGGAGAGCCGAAAAGTTGCTCAGTCTGAAAGGCGCCAGACCGGATAACGCGGCCAATCAGCGAGCCGTTTCCATACGGGCCACGAAACACCGTCGTTCCATTAGAGTTAATCTCCGGTCCTCGGTAATTAAACGGTTTCGTTGTACCTTTGTTTATCTCTCGGTGTGGAGCGGTTTCAACCTTTCCTCTCCCCCTCCCTCCTCCTTCCCCGTTGAGCGACGAGGGAGGAGGGGAAGCCTCCCTCCCCTCCTCCTCCTCCTCCACCTCCTCTTCCTCCTCGGTAGCCCCCGATGTATCAAGGAACGAGGTGGGATTCGATCGGGACACAACTCGATCGGTTGTCGGACGATTAACGACTAGAACAGCCGACGATGTCGAGCAGAGAGATTTCAGATAACGGTCGATCCCCCCCGGCCCGCAATCAACATTCGATCGGGTTCGTTTATTTTATCCTCGTTACTACCGAGTCGCGATAATTGTATATATATATATATATATATATATACACACATATATATAGGAAGAGATCGCGGGCACAGGGGCACACGACTGCGTTATCTTTCCGCGGCTCGCGCCCCCCCGATTTACGATTTCACCCTTAAATTGTTGAGATATCGGAAGGAGAATTAAACGAAGATGAGAATTTACGATTTTGCGTTCGACGGATGTATAATGCAGAATGAGATATAGGGAGAGAGGAGAATGATGAATTTTTGAAAGGGAGTTTTCTTAGTTGTAGAGAGGATGGGATTATCGTTCTTGTTGATTTTCCTGGTATTTATTCGAGATGTAAGGGGGAAATTTATAAATGAAAAGTTTATGAATCGAGATGACGAGATACAATTGTATGATTTGGAAGAAAATAAATTGGATATTTATCCTTCTTCTCGATTTCGTACGATTTCGATCGCGTTTTGTTATTTTCAACTTTTTCCTATATTTCGTCGCGCGTGTATATATATATATATATATATTTCATTCTTATCAAGGTTTAAAATTGGGGCTCTACGATTTTCTAATCGTGTGCACGAGATTTCCTTTAAGATTGTTGTTGAATTATCGTTCTAGGGGGAAACGAATGGCGATTGGTTACGGTTAATTGCAATCGAGGTAGTCGCGTTTTAAATCGTAAGTTAATCTCGAAGCTATAATACCGATAGTGTAAGTGGAAAAACTTGTTAGGCACAGTTTCAGCTTCGTTTAATAACGATGAAAATTAATGACCGGAGCGTGTCGTTTAACAGTATTTCGTAAATTTTTACGTGTACAGATATAATATTTTATAATTATTTAAATTTCGTTATCGGTAATGAGTATATTACGATCGCGTGAATCACTTTCCTCTCCATCGATGCAAGATCATGTTCGATCGATCACGCGGCGTCGAAAATAAAGCTACGATTAAAAATAAGAAAAAAGAAAAGGAAAGAAAAAGAAGGGTTCATCCAACTCGTATCCCCTCGTATCAATTTCCAATTACTCCAAATTCGAGATCCGTTTAATACGCTTACATATCTTCAACAACAAGTTGTAGATTTTAAATAAACTTTCTTCCCCTATTAAATTTCTCTTCACAATCTTTATCGTCGCGTTTATCCAAATCCTATTAATTATTCACCGAGTTACGATACACGTTATTAGATATTAATTTAAATACAAAATTATATAGAATAATTACTCGTATCTTTCAAACTGGGTACACTTTGATCGTAAATCTCTCGAAACTGGTTCCCTTGCGCAACAACCAACAACCAAGAATTAAAGACCGGTAGCCACTTGCCTCTCTTCTCTGTGTATTCCTTTTTTAAAAATTCGACGAGAAAAAGGAAAAAACGAACAAAACAAAAAACGAATCATTTACTCCGTTTGTCCTCCGTTGGACAGAGAAATATAGGATTCGGTAGGCGACGATAAGATTTAATTTCGCCGTGTTTTATCGTAACACGGCGGCCGATTTACGATTCGCGCGGGAAACGTATCGCGCTGCTACGCCGTTGCTCGAGCGACAGGACGCGCGCCTACACCCGTGCAAGTAATTAACGCGGTTACCAATTAATAATTGAGGGCGCCGTGCCGATTACATTTTGCAGCCCCCGCCACGCAGCCCCCCTCCCCATTCGGCACAACCGTATTCCCTCGCGCGCATTACTCTTATCGTTATCCCCCTATCGTCAACTATAACTTTCGGCCAACGCTCGCCCCGCCTGTTTCTAAACTTCATTTCCAATCCACGATACGTGCACACCGATTTACCATTTATCCGCCCGTATTTTAACCACCGTTTCATTTTTACCTTCGCTAATTCGAGGAGGAATTTTGATTAATCCAACAGAGAGGGAGAGAGTGTTAAACGAAGCGTTTAGAGAAAATAATTCCTTCTCGACGAAAAAGGAAGACGAATTTAAATTACGAAGTGCTGAATCCGTTTAAATTTGCAATAACGGCAATTTCCTCCGTGATTCATCGATATATTTAAAATTATATTCTTTAATAATAAGCTTCTCATAGAATTTTTTACGAAAGTTTCCACTCGATTTCTCATCTCCGCGTTTATTCCTCTCTTGTTCCGAAACATGTTAAAAGACCGAGAAAAATTTGATAGAAAAGCGGTTCCCTTTTCGGGAGGGAGGGATTTTCATCCCCGAAAAAAAGGAGAAGAAAGGAGGAACGATTGATTTTGCGTGGCGACGGTGCTCGTGTTCGACCGGTTACGGCCGTGATCCAACACGGGGGAACGATGAATGTTTAACGAGGCGAACGGCGGTAGATCGAAACGGAATCCGGAATCGCGGATTCGAGAGGGTTTGACACTTTAAAAGCGGCGGCAAGAAGGCCGGAGAGGAAGGAGTCTGTGACCGGACTGGTTCTCGCGCGAGACGACGAAGGGGTGCGATCCGCCACCGTCAACCGGCAAAGGGGGGAGGCAGGAAGAGAGAGAGAGAGAGAGAGAGAGAGAGAGAAGAGTTGGCAGTCAAAGCAGGGGCGGACGAGGGTGCACGATGGGGTGGATAGACTGCATTATGTACGGGACAGGGCTAAGCTGTTAGGTATCTGAATTATTGAGACCAAGTTATCTCATCTCTGCCTACAGTCATCTCGTTACTTTAAACGCAGCTGCTCGCTGGACCGCGTCGCGGATGTACAGAACCGAGGGAAGGAAGCGTATTTTTCTCTCTTCCTCTTTTCTATTCTATATCACGTATACTTTTCTCTCTCTCTCTATCTTTGTCTTTTCTTGATTCCACATTCCTTATTTCTCATCGAGATTTTAAATATCGAGTTTTCAAACATCACTGGACGTATCGTTTTATAATAACGAGAATAGAAGGTTTTCCCAGCTTTCGACCCGAATTTACAAGTGGAGAGATCGATTCGGATTGAAACGGAGATGTTTCGTTGCTTTAATCGCATCAGGAAGAAAGTTATTTCGTTTTCTAAATTTGGAAACACGAGATAGGAAGGGGAACGGAGGAAAAAGCGTTTCTCTTTTGAAATTTGATTTGATTGACGTTCAGGATCGTTTCACGACGAAAGTTGGTGCGCATCGCGAAGAAACTTCTTCTCCTTGAAAGGGGAATTAAATTTATTATCCATTGAAAAATTTTTAACCGATAAATCGATTTGCAAAAAAATCGTGTAATTTAAGTCGTTGTCAAATTTGTTCGATTTTCAATACGCGATGTTGTGTAATAATTTTTACGTTCGCCGATTACGATTCGTTCAGATGGAAATTTAATTCGACAATGAGACATCTAGACAAACGTGTCCACCTGTCACCGCATTTCCTTTTCTGAACGCATTGAGACGGATAACACGTGTCGTCGCCGTACAAATCGAATTTCACGCTCGCTTCTCGAGCCACGGCGCTACGTAATAAAAACGCTCGTATCTTCTCCAAGTAAACTCGAAGAAAAAAACGATCGCAAGATCGTCGAAAAATAAGGAAGAATCGAAATCGAATACGACGAAACCAGGCCAAATTCCATTTTAAAATTTATTCAAACTCTTATAAATAATAACATTTTTTCCCCAATTTTTTTTCTTTCTTTTTTAACGAATTTAAACTCATCCATCGATCTTTTCTCGTTTGATTGATCAATTCTTACGCAATTCTTCTTCCTCTTTCTTTCTTTCTTTCTTTCTTTCTTTCTCTCTCTCTCTCTTTCTTTCTTTCTTTCTTTTTTCTCTTTTTAACTAGCTCGAATAGATCTAAGAAGATACAATATTGCGTTCGTGATCTTACTCGGCGAGAGAAGAAAATTACCATTGGCCGGTTTCCAAGTAAGAAGCGTAATTTTCATTTCTGCGCGCTTTACGACAAATGCAATATCGCAGTTTTAAACGACAAGAAAGACAAGAGATCCCGATGCAACGGCATCGAACCCGTTTTTTTTTTGCGACCAGTCCTGTTATCGATCTCTTATTAGGTCGTTACACCAACCTTCTAAAGGCGTTCTCTTCCGGTTTTTATTGGCCGCGTTTTACATTCCACGTTTTTACCTATTTGCCCCTTTATTGCTGGTGGAACAATGCAGTAGAGGTAACGGCACGCTGCCTCTGCTAAACTTCGTCCACTCTTATCCATAAAAAAGGCAAATGAAACTCTCGCGGGAAATTTAGAGCTCGATACTTTTCGATGATAAAGAATTTTATTGAGTTTGACGAAACTAAGATAGAGAGAGAGAGAGAGAGAGAGAGAGGGAGAGAGAAAGAAAATGCTATAAAACGGAATATTTACTCTAATTATTCCGAAATTTTAGAGAAACGTTACAACGCATTACAAACATTAGCAGTTTAAATACATTTGATTGATCAATTATTTTTTCTTAATAAAACCGAGATGGAAAGGAAAAAGTCGCTGAACGTTTCCTCATATTTTTTTTCGAAATACATAATTCTTCGTAAAATATATCTTAAAATCCAAACCATTGTATTTATAAAAACAATATTTCGTATTTCATGTTTCGTTGTCTCGTCCCAATTTCTCCCAATCTTGAACAAATTCTTGAGAAAATATCGTTAACCGATCAAAATCCCAAAGAATCGTTCCAAGAATTTTAAACGACCTGGTCTTTACACGCTTCGACAAAAAAGAAAAAGTGGCCTATTCTATCTCGTCGAACACCTCTGGTATACCAAAGTATACCAGATACCTACTAAAAACCACGGTCCACGATCTTGGCTACTTCCTCCCGAGGAAAAATACACCGAGAGCTGAGAAACGAAACGAAACGAGAGAGGAAACGAGAGGAAACTTTGTTGTTTGTCAAATTATCCAAAGGTGGATGATACTTCCCGGAACGAGAACGAAGGAACGGTTTTAGAAATTGGTTGAAGGGAGAGAAAAGGAAAGGGAGGGGAACCCCCCCTCGGATAAATGCCTCTGGGCCCCGTCTCGCCGCGTAGACGCCCCTGATATCGGGGGACCCGCGCCACGAACGGGCCCCGTTTTATCTAAATGACGTGTTTTCGTCCTCCGTTATCTTGAAGAGACTCCAATACCGGGGACTTTCGATGCCTCCTCACCGATACGAAGCACGTTGTTGTGACCCGCTATTAACATTCCAACCGCGGTTTCCACCTCGCGTTTTCCCTTTCGACTCCTCTCCGGAGATTCGATGAATCATTCGAGAAAATGGAAAGATCGTTCGTCGTAGGAACTTGAGATTTTTTTTTCCTGTTAATTATCCTGTTCTTTCTCGAATGGAAGAAGAATGGAGGACGAATGACACAGGAATCACGTTTATCGACACCGAGATTATTAAATATTCTTTCTTGTATTTGGATTCCTCTCCTCAGATTCGATGAATCGTTCGAGAAAATGGAAAGATCGTTCGTCGTAGGAACTTGAGATTTTTTTTTCCTGTTAATTATCCTGTTCTTTCTCGAATGGAAGAAGAATGGAGGACGAATGACACAGGAATCACGTTTATCGACACCGAGATTATTAAATATTCTTTCTTGTATTTGGATTTCTCTCCTCAGATTCGATGAATCGTTCGAGAAAATGGAAAGGCGATTTTTCTATTAATTATTATTCTCTTTCGATTTCTCTCGAATGGAAGAAGAATCATTCATCGACACAGGAACCAGAAATTATGTTTATCGAGATTATTAAATATTCTTTCTCGAACATGAGATTAATTACGAGAGAATGGAAAGTTACATTTGTCTCGAGTTTTCCCTTTCGACTCCTCTTCAGAGATTCGAGAATCGTTCGAGAAAATGGAAAGATCGTTCGTCGTAGGAACTTGAGATTTTTTTTTCCTGTTAATTATCCTGTTCTTTCTCGAATGGAAGAAGAATGGAGGACGAATGACACAGGAATCACGTTTATCGACACCGAGATTATTAAATATTCTTTCTTGTATTTGGATTTCTCTCCTCAGATTCGATGAATCGTTCGAGAAAATGGAAAGGCGATTCGTGGTAGAGCTTTAACAGTAATTTGAGATTTTTTTATTAATTATTATTCTCTTTCGATTTCTCTCGAATGGAAGAAAAATCATTCATCATAGAAAAATTATATATACATAGAAAAATTAGAAATTACGTTTATCGAGATTATTATAATTATAAATATTCTTTCTTTCGAACATGAGATTAATTACAAGAGAATGGAAAGTTTGTCTCCAGCTTGAGTTTTTCCTTTCGACTCCTCTTCAGAGATTCGAGAATCGTTCGAGAAAATGGAAAAGTTATTCGTGGTAGAACTTTAACAGTAATTTGAGATTTTTCTATTAATTATTATTCTTTTTCGATTTCTCTCGAATGAAAAAAGAATCATTCATCAACACAGAAAAATCAGAAATTACGTTAAATATCGAGATTATTAAATATTTTTTCTTGTATTTCGATTCCTCTCCTCAGATTCGATGAATCGTTCGAGAAAATGGAAAAGTTATTCGTGGTAGAGTTTTAACAGTAATTTCAGATTTTTCTATTAATCATTATTCTCTTTCGATTTCTCTCGAATGGAAGAAGAATCATTCATCGACACAGGAACCAGAAATTACGTTTATCGAGATTATTAAATATTCTTTCTCGAACATGAGATTAATTACGAGAGAATGGAAAGTTACATTTGTCTCCATCTCGAGTTTTCCCTTTCGACTCCTCTTCAGAGATTCGATGAATCGTTCGAGAAAATGGAAAGATCGTTCGAGATTTATTACGTTTATCGAGATTATTGAATATTCTTTCTTATATTTCGAATGCGAGATTCGATAAATTAGGAGAGAATGGAAAATTTGTCTCCACCTCGAGTTTTCCCTTTCGACTCCTCTCCAGAGATTCGATGAATCGTTCGAGAAAGGTGATTCGTGACAGGAACTTGAGATTTTCCTGTTAATTATTATTCTCTCCCGAATGGAAGAAGAACGAATGACACAGGAGCCACGAGTTACAAGTTTATCGACACCTAGTCTATTAAATATTCTTTCTTGCGTTCTTTCGAACGGGGGATTCGATAAAACACGGGAGAGAGTGGAAAGTTACGTTTGTCTCCGGCCAGCGCGAGATTTAGAATAATTCGCAGGGGAAAGGATCAACAGAATCGGAAATATGTGGAAACTTACCTCCACTTTGTTCGTCTGTTTTGAAACCATGTTTTCACTTGGGCATCGGTCATCTTCAAGGTTTTAGCCAACGCTGCCCGTTCAGCCGATGCAAGATACTTTTGTTTGTGAAAACGTTTCTCCAATTCGGCGATCTGCAACCTCGTGAAGCTCGTCCTCGGCTTCTTTCTCTTCGGTGGCGTCCTGTTCTGATAAGGATGCCCGATCCTCCTTGGAAACGCTCCGGCTACTGTCGACAAAACGAAAAATCCAACAATTTACAACTCTACCTCAAAATTGTATCCACCGTTTATAACCGTGTAATAATTTCACGTTCATAATAAAGTGTTGCAACCGCGACATCTGCCGATCCAATCGCAATTCGAGCCAAAAAATTAACAACTCGATGGAAAAAAGTGAAAAGAATAAAACTGTAAATTAATTTTACAATCCTCCCTACATCTTTCTTATATCATCGTGCAAAATGACACATATTCGAGTTCCAAAAAAAAGCGAATAGGAAGAAAAAAGAACGAAGACGCGAGGCGCGTTTCGAGCAAGCGTTAAAATTCCAGGATAAAGTGGCGACGCCGAGTTTACGCCGTTCAAAGAATTACTTACACACGCTCTCCCTCTTTTCAGGACAAAGAGAGAGAGAGAGAGAGAGAGAGAGAGAGAGAGAGAGAGGAACGATTATAGAATCGTAAAAAAACGGGGCTTACGAGTTACACGGAACGATTTGCCGGGTGCAAATTGTAACGCCGATCGCCAGCAGGTGCGTTTCGCGATTCGATGGAAGGTGGTATTAATAAAATTACCGTTAGCCCCGATAGGATCGCGCCCACTTCCATTACCAAAGAAACCCCCAACGAGCGGTGCACGAATACGAGCGGTGAAATCAAAATGAAGCTTTATCGTCCACTTACGCGAAACTAGCCGCGTAAATCGAGGAGAAGGGGGGGGGTTGAAACTCGCGCACGAGATTCCAGCCTTATCGGGTCGACGTTCATCCTTTCGCTAATTATTCCGCGAGTTATTCGATACCTGGACCTGGAAATATCCTGGAAATATCCCCTGGAAGGGGGAATACGAGGAGATTTAAGGAAAAAGGGTGGTTCTTAACTTAAAGCGCGGGCAAACTTTCGTGTCGCGTCGATATCGGAACGACACTCCGATTATCGGAATATAGGGCGAGTACGAGAGAATTGGAACAATAAAAGTTCGCCTATTCACCTGTTTCTCCTTCGTATCGCGTTGTTATTGGCGTTGATCGGAGCATTGGGAATTCGAACGAGATAATTCGAGAATCGTTGTATTAGGGGAGATTGGGGCGGTGGTTTTAAAGGATGAGAAAATTGAGATAAATTCTTGAGCCACGGAATGATTAATCAAATTATTATCGTTGGTAGGGTTACAAAGTGGTGATCGAGTTGGATAATGATTTACATCGAACGGGCATTAGAGTCGGTTCACCGAGCAGCCGAATCGCTCGAACGTGACAGAAATCCTTTTCCTTGGTTTTCTTCGTTTTTCGATGAAAAATGAACGGAGGAACCAGAAAGCAAAATAATAATTTCGAAACTATTGCAACGCGATGGTGTCCATCTTTATAAGGTATATGACGTGTCGTACACGTGTTTTGCGTCCTACGATTTTTTTTTCTTTTTCTTTTTTTCTCTCTCTCTCTCTGTCTCTCTTTCATAATTTACTCTCGTTAGCGAAATAATTCGAAATACGGAACGTCGTATCGTTTTCCGTAATTCGTTCTCTTTGAAGCGTGACTATCGACGTCATTAAGCATTTATCTGTCGTAGTAATAGCGCATGAATAACAGAAAGTGCATTTAATGCGATATGCATACCGGTAGATTTAATGCTTCGAAACATGATACGCGGTATGTAATAATGAGAACGAAGAATGCGATAAATACATTATACGCGGGATTCCAAGACGAAATCGTCGCTCGCTCATTTTCTTTCTTTCTTTCTTTCTTTTTTTTTTTTTTTTTTTTTTCATTTGTAAATTGGAGACTATTACGAGTACGATAAAAATTATACGTAGTTAAATTACGTAGTTAGAATATCGATACGCAAACAACGATACGTTTGTAATAATTATTAATTCCAGTATCATTTAGTCATCGTTAGTTATCATTATTTAATCGAGCAACGCGCGATCTTCGAATTTTATAACGATAAAACTCGATCACCGATTCATATTGTTGTACTTGACTGTTCTTTATTTTTCCTTACATCAAATCCCGAATGAAAATTTGTTCCACGAAACTGTACGCGTCTCGCGGCAAATCGAATTACATCTCTCTCTGATATGCAAATCAACGACACATTTCCATCAAATCTTCATTTTCACGCGTAAACTAAGCAGAAACGACTTCCAATTATTTCTCCTAGGTAATTGCTGGATCGTGAAAAAAAGAAAAAAAAAAAAGAAAAAGAAACAACACGGCCAATCGCGTCAAATCTCTCGCCTGTTCGTGAAAGAAAGAAAGAAAGAAAAGAAAAGGCTTCCCCCATCAACGTTATTCCAGTGTGATTAAAACGTGTAATTTCATCGATTCGATGAAAGAATCGCGTGCGTCCAAACGACGTTTATCGACGCGGAATCGTCGCGTTTCAACTGTGAAAAGGTGCAAAGGCGAGATTATTAAAAGTGGCAAATAAACTGACAAATACAGATGAGATATCGTACGTCGACCATCTTACACAGGATGTTTGAAAAGTGCGAGTCAATCAATTCTCCCCTGTTATTTTTCCCGATCTCGAGATATTTCTATCATATTTTTTCGCTTTAAATTAAACGCGTTTTTTCCCCCCTTCTTCCCTTATTTCTTACTTTCCATCCATCCGGAGAATTATGTCGAGGAAATTTAAGAAGAAAAGGGGAAAAAAGTCACGTTTGAGAATCGTTTGTAGTAAGAGAATTTATTCGATCGATCTGTAATTTTAAAACACCCCGTGGACGTAGCAGAGAGGGGAAGCTACTTTGAGATGAGAGCGTGGCCCAGATGTCGCTGAAATATGGAAAAGATTACGCATTCTCGGTATATATACCGCGAAAACCACTCTTGACGACCGCTACGGGCCTCTGTCACAGATACGCAATAAAGATAGCGGCCCGATTAAAGGGGGCCCGATATCCCCCGATTAAGTTGTTCGTTTCACGTGTAATAAAAACGAATTAATAATCGAAGACGAGAAATCGCGAGAAACGCCGTCCCCCTCGCACGCGTTTGCTTCTTTGTTTTCTTGTAACGCGAGTGTACGTAAGATAAAATCCAGGGGGGGATTTTGCGCGTAAGCGAGATAATTTGATCATAATTTGCATCAACTTTTACTTTCTATTTTTTTTTTTTTTTTCTTTTTTCGATTTCACACCGAAACGAATGCACGATAATCGAACAAAGTGTTTCTTCCTCTTTTCAATATCTAAAAAAGCGAATATAGATTTTTTTAGTATGTAGATAAGAGAAGAAAACAAAATTTTCCAATTTAATCAGGATGGAGTGGGTATTGAACATCGCTTCGAAATTAACGATTAGTACGGATAATGATCCGAATGGCGTTTCTACGGAAGAGGAGAGGCAGAAAATGGCGGGAGGCGGAAAATTTCCCGTGAAATTCAATTTGACGCGTAACTGCTCTCTCTCTCTCTCTCTCTCTGTTTCTCTTTCGAAACCGAGGAATCATCGTTAAAGGGTAAACGGCCATCAGGTGGATATTATTCCATTATCCATCCCTCTTACTCCGCCATTTACATCCCCTCCTCCGCCGGCCGCCCTCCACCCTTATCCAAAAATACCGTCTTCCGTAGAAGCGTAGAATTTTGCGAGACACGAAATAATCTCGTCGATAATGCCTGCTCAATTAAAATATAAATATACACGGTGAAGGAGCGTTAATTGAGACACGAACTGGTTCGATCCCGCTCTTCGATAAAATAATACGATAAATAGGATAAAGTATAAATTCGATCGTTGAAATTTCTCTTTTCATTTTTTTCTTCCTTCACGAAATCGTCGCGTGAAATAATACGATATTATTACAGAACAGATCCAATCGTCAAAATTGTTGGAAGAAATAATCGATAACTGGCACGATTGCGATCGATATTCTGATATTCCGATATAAGAAAATTTTCATCAAACGTCGATGAAAAGAAAAGATATTCCCTTGCTTCTGATCGGGAATTACCGCGCATTATAGACGATAATAGATACAGGGATAATAACAAAGTAGTTCGTTTCCTTCGAGACCCTAGTTCCACGATGGGAAATGGAGCATCGGTATATCTCGTCCAGGTATTTTTCGAGAAAAAACCTACTTTGTAATCGGCCTCCTCCTCCTCCTCCTCCTCGCCTCGTTTTTCGACGAGCGAAAGGAGCGGATAAGATAGAGCGTAAAGAGAGAGAGAGAGAGAGAGAGAGAGAGAGAGAGAGAGAGAGAGAGAGAAGGTTGTTGCGTCACAGTGTCGCTTATTAGGACGATAATCGCGTACCGGTCATTATACTCTCCGTTACATTATCATGGTGTGTACCGGTGGCACGGTTTCCCGTCTCTCTCGTAATTCATTCGTAATTACTTTCGTAGAATAGGTGGACGCACGCACGCCATTCCGCCCGTCCATTCCTCCCTTCCACACCTTCGATAGAGGGACGAGCTCGAAATTTACGAATTGGAAACCGAGCTCTCGACCCGTTCACGATAAATCCAACGAGGACTAATGAGACGCTGCAAATTATCGGGGTCGAGGGATGGATTTTTGTTGCTCGATTAATAAAAAGAGGGAGAGGAGTGAGAAACGACTTGTTCGTTTTCGCGTCCATCCTATACCCGCTTTTTCTCTCCGATTATTATTTGTATTATCCGCCCGTGGAATCGAAAGAGAGAGAGAGAGAGAGAGAGAGAGAGAGAGAGAGATAAACGAAGATAAGGGAGAAGGAGAGGGGGAAAGATTCGTGTGTACGGACGATATCCGCTTCGTGTCGTTTCTCTTCGTGGATATCACGTCCCGTCGTTAGCGTGTCTAACGACAGTCTGGCCGCTAAAACTTGTCCAATAGTGGCGTACTAGTAGCTGGCTTCGCCTTGGCAAGCCTGTTACCGAGCAATTTTGGTTAAAATACCACGGCGACGAGTGTTTGCGGTCGAAGTATTTACCCTGACGATGTAACCTTACGACAGAACAGCCGCCGCCGCCACCGCCGTAACGCGTTTCAATGCCTCTAAAAAGG